TGCTATGCTCCGGCTGATTTCCCGATAACCGATACAATTTCCTTGATTGAAGTATTTGGTGGCACTAGACCCGAAACCCAAATTCTACCCCAACTTCGCTTTCCGACCCGACCCGAGCTTGCTTCCTTCCTTTATTTTTGTTCATGGTGAAAAAAAAAACTAGTTCTCTCCTTCACTCAGATTGTATAAATAAATAAGGTAACACTCATGACAAGGAGTTTCCATGGTCTCACACCGAAGGAATGATAACATTTAAAAATTAAATGCTGAAATTCGGCCTGGACCGACTCAACCCGAAGAAGGATCTTAAAAAGTTCGGTCCTTGAAGGCCCGCGTGCCTCTCGTCCTTCTCATCATCTTTTTATGGAGGAAGATGAGGAGCATGTAGAGGTCAACGAGATGCGGCCCTATCTGATGCACTGGACCAAGTGCATGGTTGCTATTGTATTGTGTGGCTCCATCTACGGAAGGTTCAGAACGACTGGAACTTCTTCAGTTAACCCTAAAGATCTGACATTTATAACCGCCAGGACGTGGACGAAGATTCTGAGTGAAGTGGTGGTTAGTGTTGGTGAAGCCAATCACGATGATGTAACTTGCTTTCGTAAGATGTCCGAATCGAGAGATTCTATTAGGTGAGAATAAGAACGATGGAACGTATCGCTTGATGCAGACAAGGTCAGGGCTCAACATATTTCTTTTATTGTTTAAAATTGTCGAGTCTATTTTTAAACATTCTGAAACGTCCACCCACTCTGGCATACGCTCAAACTATGAGAGTTCTTTGGAACTGATAGAACCTGATGTCACGATTCCCTACTGCGGGGCAACGACATCGAGGATAGCAGGGAACTGCGATTAAATTAGTGTATTGTCCGCATTTATATGCTGAACTTCTTTTATTGAGCAAAATGAAAGTAATATGGAATATATGATTTCATGTTTTTAATGATCATCCCATACAATAGGCACTTGAATTAGAAAGGGGAATGCTGGAAACCCTCTGGGAACATGTCCAATCCCATGATTCCGTTCATGGAGCTCTACAGGAAGGATGATACTTTTTGCGGGCTGGATCTGTTTAATCTACTACTTATGAGTCAGAATATACTGATCGGTTATTTTTTTCATTTTCGGCATTTACTAGCATGAATATCTATGAAGGTTCTATTGACGAAATCCAAGGGTGACCCCAACGGGGAGGAAATCCCTTCTTGTTTCCCATCAGCTCAACTGGACACTATCGAGAAGCTGGAGACACTGATTAGGGATGACCTTTACACAGGCAATTTAGTCGTCATATTAATTCGTTTTTTGAACATTTTCCCGTCGAGTAAAAACGAGATGGCAAGCCCGTTGCTCATTTACTTTACCGTTCGGTTCATGACCTATTACCTGTGGCGATGAAAGATGACGGTCACTTGGTTCATTTGGCTACTCGCTATATTAAAATGAAAATGCCAATCAACCAATCAAGCACATGTGATTCTCCGTATTTAATAGCCTTCTAACTTATTTGTTCACTGAACATTATCCCCGCACTTTGTGTACTGTCTAATAACTTTAAGGTTAACGTAACGACGTGATACTTTAATCCTGAATTAGGACTTTAATTAAAGTAACAGGTTTCCCTTTTTTACTTTTCACTTTACAGGTAAATCATCTTCTTCAATAATTTACTGAGCAAATTAAATTTTAACTGTTTTAAATGCGCTTGATTTCATTTTCTTCATTTGCGTGTTCCACGTCAATAGGTTCTTTGTTTTAAATTTATCTTTGCTGATGCTTAAAAATGCCTTCTGCATTCGGATACTATGGAAAGGCAACTCATGAAAACTTTCCTGAGAACCCCCCCCCCCCAACTTTAAGGACCAACGAGGTGACGGACTTTGCGAAACTCAACCTCTCGGTTAGTGAACAGATTTAGACTCGATACCGTGGGTACTAAAGTTACCTGTGCTAACCTGTGAAAGTAGAAGGTAACGTTTTAAAGTCATTCTTTGCAAAAAAGGATAGCTACTCGGAAACTGGATGTTTTGTCATATGTGAAGAATTAAATTCTTGGAGAGTGAGGAATACATTCGCAATTTAAACCATTCACCAATATCTACCGATTTTACAACAATTGCTCTTTCAAGTACACAGACTGACAGAAGAACGTTCCCATAACAGTCTGATTCGCTATTGATACGAAGTCGTTGAATAATGAAGAACATGGAATACTATTTAATAATGAATGAGATGCCTGTCGTCATTATGATTGTATCGACAATACAAGCTCTGTGATAAGACCCCATTTTATCGATGGATACAATTATGTTCCAGTGTCTATAAAGTAATTGCCTCTTGGCCATCACTTCCAAAGCGGAGGCAGATAACGACCGTTCAACCAAACAATAGCCAAACGACACTGTTAGTAGAAAGTGTTGACGGATAAATCGTAAAAACGGTTAATTTACTGTGAATCACCATTTAAAAGGGGAAATTGGAATGTTTATCTTAAATGCGACGAAATCTTTATATCCATTTTGATTGAGGGGGTTAAACAATTAACGAGGAGAGTTTCATGCATCTTGTGCGTGGATTAATGAGTATCCATGAGAACAGGAATAAGTATTTATTCTTTCTGAGTTTACGTACATGTAGCACTGAATTGAAAATAATCTTTCTATAATAATAAGAAATTATACATCCAGCTTCAGAGGAAAAAGTTAATTAAGTGATCGCCTTTTTTAAATGCGAGGGAAATTAGTATTATACATGTACTAGGTTGGTCATAAGTTTCAGGTATTAATACTTGGAGTGTTATTGGTCATATACAGGGTGTGGCAAAAAATGGACACATTTTAAAGTGTTATAATTTCTTAGATTTAGGCATTTTCTCCCCCAATATGAATTAGTTCATGGAGATTTTACCTAGTATATGACTTTGAAACATGGATAGTTGAACTGATGAACAGCTTAAATACATCGTGGTGGTATATTTCTCAAAGGGACATTCAATGACGACAATGATCACTTTCAATGAGAAAATTTCTAAACCAGAACGACGTAAGACTTACGTATTTGCCGTTTCTCCGCTTGCAGTAGTTCTGTCTATGGACTTTCATGCAATACTTTATTCGACTCTACATTCATACTGTCGTAACGATGTTGACGAAGAACTCGTCTGGTTGGAAATGCGGAAGTGAAAAAAAGTTATCGGACAGCTTCTTCCTGTCTCCATTCACACGACCATTCCTGCAGTAGGCCCAGGGATACCGCTGGATTGTAATGAGTAAGACTGCGTGATCTGCTGTCTCGGGCATACAAGTAGCTCACACCATGGAAAGACTATGGAAATATCTGAAGTTGGTGAAGCAAGCAAAGGACGTTAGACTTGGTACGTACGTAAGTCAGCGTTCATCGTGTCATGAAATTGGCGGTGTCATCGAAACACGTTGTACAATCGTATAATCGCTAAGAAAAAAAATCCCGTCACATACGAGTATTTGTTGACGTCACAAAAGATTGCGTGCAGAGATTGTCGTCCCTCTATTTGTTCGAGTCAAGATTGTTATATTGCCGTATCGAAATTATCGTGGCATTTCATGGGTGACAGTTGCTATGGGATATTGAGAGGTCATGGGATTACTATTTGACATCGTCGAACATCGAAATTTCGGCAATATACTCCGTAATTCGGCGCCGGTCCATTTCTTCCCGCTAATGAAGATCTCACCGTCTGGACGCACTGAAGACTTGCGAAAACTTTGCGATTGAATGAATGTAGATCTCGAAAAACATTTATAAGGATGTCCGGCTCATAAATATTAGAGCGATTCCCATCTTAGATCCAAACGAGGGAGTTGCTAGAACTAGAACGCTGTGTCGGGGAACCAGTGGCGTATCCAAATGGATGTGGGACGGTTCCTCCACCTGTTCTAAGGATGGGTGGGTGATGGATGGTTCACAATATGCCTCAGTTTGTGCGAAGTTAAATGGCTAAGTGGTTTTTTTTTTGCACTCAGGTTCTTCAATGCTAGAATGAAGCCGAACGAGAATGAACGTGAGGGCTAAAAAGTTGTTCATTCAAAGATATCATTGGTCCGTCTTACATCAACCCTAAAATAGGAAACACGTCCGGAGTCCATGGATGAAGTTTAGAAGGCGATGGAGAACATATATCATCGTTTGGTAGGCATAAGTAAGAGGCATCCTCCCGTTCCTTTCCCTCAGCAGCCAAGTGAAACGTCTGCATCCCCTCTGTACGCTGTGATCGAGAAGTTCCAGAGGAAGTCGACGAGGAAGCTCTTGAGAGGTCTGCGGAGCTGCAGGATTACTTGGTCTGGTCTGGAACTCCCAAAAAGGAAAAGCGTCGGGAAGACGGAAAGGTTTCCTTGGACGATGTCAAGAGAAAAAAGGAAAAAGATATTCCGGGAGAAAAAAGACGGAAGAAACGATTGGAACGAGAAAAAGAAGAGGGGAAGAAGGTCAGAAAGGCAAGGAGAACTGAAAATCTAAGAGATAATCAGAAAAGGACGAACAAGGGGAAGTAGAGACAGTGCAAGGTGGAGAGTGGAGGAAAAGGACTTTCAGCCGATTTCGAGGAAAATTTCAATGATGAATGGCATGGGCCTACATTCGATGAACGAAAGAAAGAGATCGGATTCCTCAATTGCGCATCGTTTCCCTTCTCAAGATAGAATAAATCTTTCATTTTTAAAAGGCTCGTGGCCAACAACTGGATCCAAACTGTCCAAGTACTGGTCTAAAGTAGCCACAAAATGGGTTTATTGTTACATTATTACCATTTTGTTTACATTTAATGATGCTTCAGGAATGACGAAACTTAATCATAATAGTGTATTTGCATCTCATTTCACAATCCCTGAAACTAAAAGAATCGTCCCACCGGAAAGGGAGTTAAGGTCAACTCGGTAACGTTCGAGCCGCTTCCCTAATTCATCGGTTTATGACCCCACAAATAGGAAGGGTGGCAATGAAGGATGTACCTTGGGCTAGCAAGGAGTTTCCCTCTCTTTCTTGAAATCTGCAACAGGTTCATTCAAAGCGGAAACCCAGTCCAAAGACCCTCGAATGAACTCTGGCTCGTAGGATGGAGGGAGGATGGTTCCACATGCCACCTGACTCCATGGGATGCTTGCTGGAATAACTCATCAGTGCATCTTATCCCTTTTAAGTGGAACTGAGTGTAGGAATTGGGCAGGTATGGCTTTTGAAGCAGTGATAAATTATTTTTTGATGGAAGATTTCACGCAAAGGATCCGTTCTGACCCGCAACACCAGGTAATGATATAGTCATTTGCATCAAGTTTTTATTTTGATTCTTCAAGTTCATTTCATGGATGATACTTAATAATGTCAGGTTACTTTAGCAAAAAACACGATGCCAATGTGGATGCAGCAACAGTTCCCATCTTGATTGATAATATGATAGTTGTGATGATACCGATGAGGTGATTTATTCAGACAATGCAAGAACAAGTCACATATCTGCGAGGGTTGTGTGAAAATGTGTAAACCTGACCATAATGGAGTTGATGAAAACGTATACAATATCCTATTTCACATGGTGTAAGATATAAATGCTCTGAATTTTCGTGAATAAATACAATGCATCAATGAGATTCTTGCAGCAATTACATTGAGGATGGAAATAAATGTTCTCGTGAGTTGTGGGAAAGTATCTAAACTCTACCAGGAACCTCTTGCACCCAATATTTTCCTGAGAGCTAAAAGAATCAAATCAATTTTTGTATCTCATCTAGCTATGGTACGTATGGAAATTGAAATTTCAAGGACATGGAGAGAATGCATTCTCATCATAGCATTCAGTATTAGTGTAAGGCTACTGCAACGATGAAGGCACTGTGACGCATTGAACAGTATCTTATGAAAGCACCTTGTCCCTACATACGTGTCAGGGTTTCTGCTAAGTACAAGGCTATAACAAAACTCGGTTGGTGGGTGTGCAGCGTTTATTAGCAAAACCCTTGACACACAGCTCAGTGAAACTTTTCGAAGTATTGATATCAGCACACCACAGGAATAATTTCGTGCAAACAAGTACTACGTGATTCATAGGGAGTGATGCTGTGGTGATCAGTAGTATTCAAGGTATGAAATGTTCAACATGACCCCCCAAAATCTCAATAACTGTTTGGAACCAATTTCCGACATTGCAAACTGGGGTTTTCAAGAGGTCACGGGTAATGAAATATACTGACGTCCTGCAATTCCATTCCTTCCATGTCATTCATTCCTAGCAGGAGAATCAAGCATAAACATCATTTGTCCATTGTCTACCTAAATGTTCAATAATATCCTTAAAAAACGACCAGAAAGCTATTTTTTATTTTTTTTTATATCTAGATCTTCGGTGTGGCAAGCACAAGGACAGGTACTGCATGTTAAAATTCCTTCGGGAGTGACTTGCGACAAGTTACACCAATTTTTCAATATCTTTTTCTTATTCAGTTTTCATCATCTCCGCATTAAAGGTAACGGAATGGGCGCATTATGCTAAAGGTTTCCACGTTTTTGGAGTTCAATACTTTTGTGGTTTGCTTAATCACATGGAAGGCAATTTACTAAAAATTAATCTGACATTCTAATTCAGCTCGATTCACAACCTGTGGTCAAATCGCCCATATGAATGGAAAAAGTAAGTGCATAATTAATTTCAAAACAGATACGTCGAGTTTTGCTAAGGGTTAAAACTTTGTCAAACGGTGAATCCTTAATAACGCATGATGAATCACGCATTTTCATGTAGATGCATAAGTGCATCTTCATGAAAATGTGCTACTAATTTTGATGCATCATTTCGTAGATTTTCTTTCCAAAGTTTCCTGGAAATCGATAGTAACTGCCTGATTGGAAAGTTTTGGGGGGGGGGGCATACATAGTAATCCAAAAGTGAGGTATGTCAAAGATGGGTCAAAAGGGCCTGACGAACTATATGTGTGCTTCAGCAACCTGTTAGCACACCATCGGCCAGTGAGCCCCATTTTTGACTGATTCTTGTGTCAACTAAGAGCCATTCATGATCCACAATGCAATATTTGACAGGGTTTGCCGATGATGCGCACTTCGTCTTTAACAACGTGAAATTTGCCTGAATGCGTGACTATGCATTAATTAATATATATTTGTAAATCATTTCTACTTCCTGAAGCAAATTCATAAATTCAGATGGTTTCTTCTAGTTTTTTGTAAAGTTATAGTTTTTGGTAAACTTGCTGTTCGCAAACAATATTGTTACGCAGTTTTGAATACTATCTGCTTTAAAAACGTATTTATCTTCAGGAAAAAAAAAATTATTTACATTAACCCTAGACTCAGGGAGCATATGAATGATGGGGTTCAGAAAGAGACTACCTTCAACAGTACTTTCTCTTCCATAACAATCTAATTTCCAACGAGATCGCAGACCGAGATGGAGATACGAGGTCTGATCAAAAAGTTTCAGTACTTTCATTCGTAAACTTTATTTTTAATATGTACATTAAAATTAATTGTTTTCCCCTTCAAAGCATTCCCCCCTCGATGCTATGCACTTATCCCAACGCCCCTGCAACCTCTGGAAGCAGTGCTGGAAGTCCTGGAGTGTAAGACACTTAAGCTGCCTCGTCGCATTTTCCTTGATGCTTGCAATGCCTTGAAACCTTTTTCATTTCATGTGAAATTTAATCTTGGGGAACAAGAAAAAGTCACACGTAGCCAGGTCCGGTGAATAGGGAGGGTGGGGCGACACAGGAATTTTTTTTTACGCTAAAACTCTCCAATTGTGAGAGCAGTGTGGGCTGAAGCATTGTCTTGATGCAAAAAATCAGGCTTAAGTTTGGAAAAGTTGGGGCCGTTTTCTTCTATTTTTTCTCTCAGACAGGTCAAAACATCTTTGCAGTAAACCTGGTTAACTGTCTGGCCTTGTGGGGCAAACTCATGATGCATCAAGATCATGATGCATGATCGAAAATTCGACGAAGAGCACAGAGACGACCGGATTTCAACACTCGTGGTACGCAACTGGTTAACCCAAGCACAAAGGAGGTTTCACCATGGGTGCGGTTAAACCCCCCACTCCCACCTACATTAGTCCAAGCCTCCTACCTAAAGCGGTTTATCTTTTAACAAGAAAGTACTTGAACTTTTTGATTATACCTCGTACAAAAAACATCAAGATATTTATCCAAAATAGCAGGGCATGATTAATGCAAAAGAAAATCTAGAATGAAATAAATAGAGCTGTCCTTCTTCGACGTGTGCTTCATTTAGATGAGATGTGGTATTGCATGAAAGCTTAGATAGTGCATAAGAAGTCATACTAGGTGGTAACGGCGTTGCCAATCTGAGCAGCGGACATTCATTATGCATACTCTTATTGTATATACCAGCGATTGACGACCAGAAATATTAGAAAATGGATGAAGCATGGCAATGGCGAGAAATAGTACTACTTTCGGTTTCCGTTTTTAGAACTTCATATTTACTTGGTTTGAAAAATTTCTCACATAAGATGACCCAGAGAAAACAAACGGCATTAAAAAAAAAGTCAAAGAGGGAAATAATGGAGATGTTAAGGCAGATTCCAATGATCCCGCCGATGTTCCCCATCAGACCCTCCAGGCTCATCTTATGCATTTCAATTAAATGTGGAACCTATGGAAATAAATTTCCTTTTGTTTTGCTTCCGTAGGCACATGTGGTTCTAAGAAGGAAGAACGTGCTGCAGACCCAATTGGATGGGAAGCTCAAATACATCCCCTTCCAATTTTCATTGCATGGGCTGCCGAAGACGTGGTAGGTCATGTATTGGCATGGAACTGGGCAGTCACAATCAGCCTTGCTTTCTCGCAAATCCTGATGGCACACCTCATTAAAGTACAAGTTCAAAATCTTAAGTTGACTATTTTCCTCATGGATACTTGTGCATTCTGGTTTTTTTTTGTCGCATTTTCTTCTTTGGGCAGAAGCAGAGAATTCAGGCAAGTAAGAGCTGGATCCGATAGAACCACCTTCCAGAAGCAATTCTCCATACACTAGGAAAAAATCGTTGCCAGAAAGAAGGATGTTTAACGCTGAGTTCCATACGTATCCCCATGCGCCATTAAAGAGGCACAACTATTCAACTAACTTTGGTGTAGCTGTTCTCTCCAGCGAGGTGTGCCTAGAAGCAAGGCTTCTACTCGGCCTTACTCGATTTATGAGACACGAATTCAGAACGAATTTGGACATCCATGGGAGAATCGGGATAAACAGTTGTCATTTCACCCCCGAAAGCGGCGACAATGTCCGAGAAAAGCTCACTCTGGTCGTGGATGTAAATCTCAATGCAAGGCATCTCCTGTTCAAACATGCATTTGCGATGACGATAGAAAAGAAAAGAATCCGGAGTCTTTACGCCGAGGGGCCCATTACAAGTTCTTTAACGCAAGCTCTGACTGGCTTTTTCTTATCCCAAAGTACTTTTAAGGTCCTCTTGTGCTTAAGGAGAAGATAAATCATTTGAATGATGTTGCACACCATTTTCAATGGGTGCTAGGACAAAATGTCGCCGGACAAATTGTCGCCAGGACAACATGTCGCGGGAAAAATGTATTGGACTACTGTTAGCGAGACATCGTTAGCGAGACATACTGTTAGTGAGACAATCGCTTGACAAAATATTCGCCTCACGTAATTAAAGATGCGCGATAGTGCTAACGATCGTGATGGAATCGTGCGTACAGGTCAAGAAACGGATCCAAGTGTGACCCACTAGCATTTTAGAATAACCCTATCAACGAATATACAGCTAAGAATAAAACCATCTACAGATACAGTGAAAACTCATTAACTCGAATCCTGATAAGTCGAAATTCTGCTTATCTCGAAGTTCAATGCTTGGTCCCGGCGGATCCCCGTAGACACCGTGTTAAAAGCTCCGTTTAACTCAAATTCGCTTATCTCGAATTTCCGGATATCTCGAATAAAATTTTCACTCCCTATAACGATTTTCTCACGATTAACTCGAATTCAAGGTGAGAAGGGGGAAAAATTGTTCTTGTGAGACTTTTCGGTTTTTGAATAGAATGAATGACAAGACACCCTTTCGGGAGGATGCTCTTTTGTTTCTTTTTTTTCTGCTTCTCCCTCCTCCCA